GGGGGGGGGGGGGGGGAGGGCGTGGGGGGGAGGGGCGTGGGGGGGGGGGGGGGGATCGGCAGCCCCAGGCTTTGGGACTGGCTGCCCGGCCCTGCCGGCTCCTGTCAAAACATCCTTTCCCGATGAGACATGGAGACCACGGAGTCGACTGGTGCTTTTAAAACAAAAACAAACACACCCTCAAACCGTCTTCGGTGTTCCAAGCAGCAAAGAAAACACGATGTAAAACAACTTGCAATTAATGACATCAAAGGCCAGAGGAGGTTGTAACACTGGGGGAAGCATTTGGGTGGGAAAAGAAAACACACGCACGCACACCCCCCCCAGTAAGCAAAAAAGCAACAGCCATTAGGTGGGACTGAATCCAAGACAATTTCAGGGGAGGTTTTAGTTATAAACACCCAACTATGGTTTGGGAAACTTCCCACTGAGCCTTCTGCTCCTTCACCATGGACCGAGTCAGCTCCCGGAGCCCCCTGCCTGTTCCTCCAACTAGCCCAGATGGTTCGCACCACTCACATGCAGATCAAAAACCACCAGACGATTGTCGGGACGCGGCTCGATCCCAGCACCGTCTGAAAAGAGTCGCCAGCGTACCTACGCTGCTAGCTAATCACCAGCAGAGCTTGGGATCTCAGCCCCAGCAATTGCACTTTCCTTCCCGGCTTTGCCAGGAGAGGGGCAGCAAGCCCCAGATCTCTGCCCTTGGAGGCCTGACCCAGGTGCCAGTGCGCCACAGCTCCAAGGCCGGGCTCCGCTTCCTAAAGTGGTGGCTCGAGCTTGGCACCGGGCCCGGCCGCCCAGGGGGACTCCCGGCAACAGGGCGGAGGAGCAGTCGAGCCACCCCTCAAGCAACGCAAGTGCCGCGGCAAGGAGGGAGCCCCGCGCTTACTTCAAGAGCTCGGGTCCTGTGAACATCATGAGGTCGTGGAAGGCCTTGAAGAGGAAGCTCATCAGGAAGTAGGGCCCGAAGGTCCTGCAGAGTGCCCTGAAGAGCGAGGGCTGCCGGCTCCTGGTGGGCGGGCCGAGGATCAGGGCTTCTGCCTCTTCCGCCATGTCCGAGCCGGAGTCTCTCAGCTTGGCCGGCTTCTTGGGCGAGTACAGCATTGGGCTGGGAAGCCTGCGGGGCAGGAGGAGGCCGAGATGGGGTCGCTGTTCTGTACCTCGGCGCAAACGCCCGCGGGGGTCAAAACTGGCCACCAGAGCGAACCCAAGGGCTTCCCGTTTGGGATCCACCACCCTTCCAGAGCAGAGCCCGGTGTGCCACACCAGGGCCTCCAGCTGGGACGGAGCTACGCCTCCCAGAATTGCCAACTAGGTGGGAGCTGTACCCGCAACGCACCCGGACAGCACCAGCCCAGGAAAGTTGCCACAGCGTTTGTGCTGCGCAAGAACAAGGACCTTCCTCACGCCTGATTCGGCACTGGGAAATCTCGAGAGCTGGGCTGATGGTCGCTGACTCGATTTACGGGCCCCAAACTAAGTGAGACCCCCCAATACACCCAGGCAGAGGCAGGAGCCATTCCCAGCACAGCCGATGCCTCCACTCACAAAACCTTTGTCGTTCCCCGTGAGAGCAGTGCGCTGAAGGGTAAGGTAACCAACAAGCAAAAGGACATTTCTGTACAAATTTGACAATCATCACAACTAAGCCCTCTCGAAGCTCCTGCACATTCACAGCAGCGCAGAGCGCTGACGGCGCCAGAGAGCCACACGCACTTCTTAGCCCAGGTGTATTCCCGGGCCCAGTTGCGAGTCAGGCTGGGCACCACCTCCTCCGACGTGTCCTCCTTGTTCAGAGACCACAAGTCTTTTGCTTCCAAGGGCTGCCGGTACCCATGGATCATCAGCCTGAGGGGAAGAAGACCTTTCGGCATCACGCAGAACAGCTGCCAGCGCCCCACTGGCACAACTAGCAAAGGCACCAGTCGTTCCAACGGGGCAGAGAAACTCTATCAGAGCACTGCAGAACCGCCATCCAATTCACTCGCAGTGTGAACCGGCGCCACTGAGATGCACACAGCTTTGGCCACCGAGAGGCTGGCCGGCTCAGCCAGCCTTCCCCAGCCTGGTGCCCTTCAGGTAAGTCGGACTACAACCCCAGGATCCCCAGTCATCGTGACCCACGAGGAGATGTTTCTCCAATCAGCTGTAAGGCCTCAGGCGGGGTAGCTGTTTTCTTACCCAGAGATCCACCAAAACGTGATCTTGGAGAGGAAGGACGCACTGGACTCCGGGCAGGGATTCTGGTGGGGAAAAAGATCCAGCTGGTTATCGAGGGCTCTAAGAGTCGCCCGCCGGCTTCTAGTCGCCGTCAGACTGCGGGACAGCTGCGTTGGCATCCCTGGCTCAGCTGAAGGCCTGACGGGTGCTCGGCTGGCACAAGCCGTGGTGAGGCTTCTTTGGCCGAGCATGTGGTGGGAACGCAGCCATCTGACAGTTTGCAGACTCAGGCAATGGGCTGTTTCAGTCAGAAGGCTAAGGGGGTGAGGCAGGTGCAGCAACTGGGTACAGAGGAGCATGTGAGGAGATACCCACTCCCAGCCACGTGCACTCCCTACACGGAGGGCTTAACGGGCTTTAAATTAAGTCAAGAGCTTGTACGAGATAGCAAATCTCCCTGGTCCTGAGCCTGCATTTCTGCGTTTCGTGCACTTCTGACAGGCTGGGCAAAACGTTTTCCCCACAGCAACGAACTGGAGGCAATCCTGCCAGGGGCACTAAATATAATTTTTTTTGCATATATAACGCACAAGGAAACAGAAGCATCACTGGAGAAGAAAAAAGAGCATTTCGAAAGGGCCACTCCTGGGGCGGGCAGCGGATGGACCCTTGGCCCT